TTGAGCAATAATTGGCCATCATTAATAATCAGAGCCAGGAGGCCGAGCCTGTTACTACAGCGCTGCACACAGGCCTGTGCAAATCGTTTGGCTCAACCTGAGGCCCTTTAGGCCACTAAATCCAATGTGGCCGCTCATCTGATCGTTTTAAACCTGTTTTAAGTCGTTTTTGGTACATTCAAAGTGGAAGTGTAGGCTTTAGGTTTTTAATGTGTATATCGCACATGTGTAGCATTCATTTCATTCTTTAAGGAAATTCTTTAAGTGATGAAATAGGACATAATGTTATCAATGAAGTGTTTTCTGTGTGTTGACAATACCACACATAACGATCATACCGCGTTTTGTCAGTTTTCAACCAGTGAATCATTAATTTGACCTTAAACACTTCGGTGGATGTAAGCAATCATTACATCATTTAATCCGAATTCTGTCGGAAAATACAAAAAGAAAAGTTATGCAGTGATTTGTGTTAAATAGTAATAAATAAATGCTGATGCAAAAATTACCGAACAATTTGTCTTCTTTGTATCCGCCTCAGAAAATGTTTGTGTGGAGAGCGAGAGGGTTTGCTTCATTAGATTCTGAGAGGTGTGGACTAATTTCCGCTTCTTATTTAACAAAAAATAAATGTAAACATACGTTTAAAAATATTAAAATGAACCCAAGAAGCACGGTGGCCTAAAAATGTATTCATGTGTATTGTTTAATGGTATCATGCGTTTGACGTTTATAAAATGGATTCTAATAAAGAAGGTGAGCCTGGCTTTACATAATTTATTTTCATTTGTCAAACCACGTGTTTCCGTCTGGAAGGAGGAACTCTTAACCTAAGCCGAGGCCTGATGGAGCAGGCGAACCACGAAGTGTCCGTGAAAAACTTCACCGTGAACACACTCAGGCCTGTGAGGCCTGAAGGCACTGAAGGTGACCGTGTGTCACCTCACTCAGGCAGTGGTGTAAGCACACTGTTTATTTAATCACACACAGCTGAAGCAAGATATTAGAAAAATAAGAAAAAGGAAATTAAGACAGGAAACAAAAGCTTTAATCGGTGTAAAAAAATCATAATAATAATTATAAGCTGCACACATAAATAAGCTGAAGCGCATTAATAAGTTAAAGGTTGCCAGGTATTGATCCTAAAAGTCTTCAGACGTCTGCCTGGGACGTATTTGATGGATTGTGGCCATTCATCTGCAGAGGAGGAGGATGGCTCAGAGGCTCCGACGCCCCATTTACATCATGGTGTTCATCTCCGGGTCCAAAACGTCGGAGAAGACGTGACAAGTACGTGGAGCAGTGAGATTTCAGGAGCCATCCACACACGAGGCCGCAAACCAAAAAGACCACAGCTGTGATGCAGACAGCGACCGGAGTTCGTCCATTTGCTTCTGAAGTCGTCTGTGTTGGCTGCAGAGGATACAAGAGCAGAAATGTGATCAGATTCATGGAACTTTACATGAAGCTGTTTCAGGTCTGACATATAGCCGTAATGATGTTATCTATTCAATCGGGGGGCACCACATTGCTCTTTATGTGGTGTCTTAATACTGAATATCTTCCTGTGGCAGGCTAAATATGTGTCAGTAGTGATGTCATATGACATGTTGCAAAAATGGGTTGCATTTATGTTACTGGTATACATTTTTACATAATATAAAGTATCATATCGCATTATCTGTTATATAGCGACATGCATTTATGTTCATTAGCGCACAGAACTGTGAGACAAGCCGAGAAAAGTCTCAGAGTGTGGGGCTCCAATGATAATGGCCTTACCAATCGCCAGCAAAGCGCAGTACATGTACATTAATGCAAATATGTATGACAACTGGAAACAACAAACTTGTTTTATTGATTGAGACAAATAAGACGCTCTGCAGTGTCATCAGAATATGAAAGCACGCGAAGAGGAAATACGAGCTGATTCAAGAGTAAACAAATGCGTCAAAGCCTCGATAGTTTCGCCTCACTTGACAGAACTGTGACTGATGTGGACAAGAAGACTGATGTGATAATGTGATTTACTTTTTCAACACTTTGATTTTGTTTTTTTACTCTTTACATATCAGCATAAATAGTAATAGTAATTGTAATTGTAAATTTCCCTGATATGATTTGGAGGTTGCATCCACACCTGAGGGAGCAGCTTCACCACCAGTTGGGCCTGCACTAAATATGCACCTATAGGTAAGACACTGGCCTGATGGGATTGACCTCAGGACTGCTCCACCGTCCTGCACTCAAAGGATATATTAGTTTTAACTGAAGATTAGGTGCTCTGTGAGGCACGAAAATGCTGTTTAACAATATTTGACATGGTTTTAACATGTTTATAATGCCTGTCTTTCATTGAACAGGGTTGAAAATCATTGTTTTTGTGTTTACTCGGAAAAACAAGGAGTTGTGGATGGACTGTGAAAATCAAAGACAGATGTAGTTCTATAAATAAAGGAACAGTAATTTTGTCTTCCTCTAATAATGTGGGTAACATGGTTGCACTGGTTTCTGACACACTCAGACTTGTCAGAAATATTACACCAAATATGAATGACCTATGTTTGACTCATAGTGTCAGCATGGGACTCCATCATTTCACTTCATCTTGCAGGATGCAGCGTCTTTCTGTTGCGAATGCTCAGCAGAAAGACGCAGGAGAGGAGCAACCAACACAAATCGCGCTGTTTTCTTTGGAGTCACGTGTGAAAATAAATGAAACACACATTTAAAGTCAATGTACTCACCATCAGTGTAGGCTTTAGCGTGCTGGTCAGGGATTTAGGGACGGTCTCTCGAACTCGCAGGCGCACAGCTGAGCGGTGTCGCTCCGTCTTGTCCACGTCACAGAAATAAACGCCTTGATCCCTCAGGTGAACTCGCTTTATGGTGAGGGACAGGTCTGCCCTTTGGTACCAGTCTGATGATATTGATACCCGGCTTTCAAAGCCATTCCCCTCAGTAACCTGGGGAGGATTCAGCTCCAGCACCACCTCTCCGTCTCGCCTCCACTGCGCAGACTTCACCCTCTGACCTGCTGTGATGGAGCGGCACGGCAGTGCAGCATCCTCACCCTCATCTACAACAACTTCAGAGGGCAGGAATACTTGCAGATCAGTGAGCTCTAGCTTCCCTTTCTTCTTGCATGTAAAGTCATACATGCCCTGGTCATTTAAATCTACACTTGTCAGTTTTAAAGAATCGCTGCTTACAGTCACCCGGTCAGTGTAAGCTCGCCCCGGCTCCCAGTGACCATGAAGAGACGCCACCACCTGAATGCTGCCGTCCTTCAGGTGTAGATTCAGTGCTCCGTGTCCCTTCATGCACTCGTCTGAGAGGGGAAACTTAACATCATCCCCTACACTCGCCTGGATCAAGTCTCCAAAGACCTGGCTGATAAAAACTAGAAGAAAGGCTGCAGAGACCGGTAACCGCAGCATGCTGGCAGTGTGGCAGTGATGAGACTTCTTGAATCCAGCTCAGCGAGCGCTGGTGGGTCGATGCGGGTAGATGTAAAGGGTCGGTTTGGAAGACAAAACCCCTTCTAAACGGGGGCGAACAGTGGTAAGCCAAGGTAGTTTATAATAAAACTTTATGAAGTTAATTATTATTAATTTGCCATAAAAACAAAGAATAAAGCAGCCTTGGCCAGGGGCAACAAGAATTAAATATAAAAAAGAAAAGAAAAAAACAGCGGCGAGCGGACACGAATATTAAAAACCTTTGAAAGTCCCATAAAATACTAGGACAGGCAGTATCCCCACATGTCCTCTTCACTCCCTCCTTTCGCTGCCGAACTAATGGAAAGGAGAACAGCGGCTGTCACTTTTCTCATAAATACCGACGGTTTCTCATTGATCATCCGGGTCGATACTTACCCCGGGCAGACGCCTTTACCTTTGTCGGCAGCTTTACAACGGTGATTCGCGTTTCGCCCCGTCAAGCAGACTGGAAAGTTCTCCTGTACCTCCGGGCACTCCGTTGAAAGGTGTATCCCACGGCAGTCTCCGTCTTTGCCACTCTGCGAGGCAATAAGGGGATTGGTTCTCGGTGCCCTCAAGGCTCATCTTGATTGGTTAGTTTGGTGGCGAGTGTTCACGTGTGGGGCGAAAATGTACGCACGCGCCCGCAGAAACACGCTCCCAGTTTGTACCGCTGAACGGGAGATTTTGGCTTCATTTTTGCACACTGGTAGGAGGCGATGTCGCGTCGTCCATCGTTTATACAGTCATTGGTTTGTAAACAAACCTAACTGTACAAACTTACGTCATTTCAATTCCTCCCCTTCCGTTCCTCCGACCATCGCCGAAATCGCTGTCATGTCCTGTAGCGAGTGTTACATATTTATTTCACGTTTACTTTTGGTCCGTATTAGTCTAACACAAACAGTTGTAACGCATTTTATAAATCCAATTTCATTAAAAAAAATCAGAAATATTAGAGAGGAATTTTACATACAAATTTTAGTGAGGAAGACCAGCTGTTTATCATTACAGAGCAATTCATTTGCCTTAAAGGAAAGGAGCCACGTCTATTTCCTGCTTTTTACGTTCTCGTCATAGAGTTGATAACGGCGGGTAACAGAGGAAGCTGAGTAAAAGATTAATACAAATAAGATTTACACCATCGGTCTATGCAGTAATCTAGTTAAAGACATGGCAAAGTTAGTAAGGAGCTTTTTCTTCACTCTGGATTTAAGAGGACCAGTCGTATTTCAGGTAACCGTTGTACCTCTGCTAGCTGCTCGTTAGCTTCGCTGAAGCTAGCAACAATGTTCATGGTTTCTCATGAACATCCAGCAAATGTGAAGTCGTTGACACGTACGGCTGGTTATTGGAACTGCTCAGACAAAGTTTAACTAACGGACAATGGGGCGACTCTATTAACTTGGCCAAAGGAAGGACTCTGCTTAGCACGGTGGCCTTGTTAGCATGCTAAGTTGGTGTAGCCTGTGCAGACTACGTGGACCAATACAAATATGGCTTTTTCTTTGCCGTTTTAGCTCTTCTGTGCGACCAGAATTCAAGTTACGCTTATTTTGACTAGAAAAATCACAAATAGTGTTTGTGCAACATTTTAGTAATGCGTTATAAACACCCAAAACACGCAACTGAAACGAGGCAGGGTGTGGCAGCGGAAGAGCATACACTATTGCCTAAAGTAATCACTTGTCTGCCTTCACAGACGTGTGAACTTGAGTAACATCCCATCGCATGAGTTGTTTTTTTTTTTAATGAAGACGTTCTCTCACTGATCCACTTAGTGAATACACTGAGCTTCAGCTGGCAGACAGTCTGCTCTCCCTGAGCTTCTGTATAGGCTATCAGTCAGCAGCTGTCTTAATGTCGGCTGACAAGTCTTCCATGCGTCGCACAACTGGATTTCTGGACATGCTGACGTTGTTGAAGTCCTGCACTTTTTCCAGGCACATTATTTCAGTGACTTTAGCGAGGCCGTGTTTTATGAGGTCTCCATCTGAAAAAGACTTGCCATGTCTTGCGATGAGTTGGGCGACCTCATAGCTGGCTATTGAAGCCTTTTTCCTGGACAATTTGAGCACGAAATAAATACTGTTGCTGACCCTGCAGGAGAGCTACCCTTTCTGCTCTCGCTCAGCACTAGTGTAGGATGCATAGGCCTGATGTTTGGTTTCATAATGACGTTGTACATTATACTCTTTCATAACTGCCACAGTTTCAGTGCAGATCAAACAGACACACTTCCCCTTGAATTCTTTGAAGAAATATTCACTCTCCCACCGTGTCTGAAATTTTCTGCACTCACTTTCTATCTTTCGCTTCTTTGGTTCTGACCTATTTAGTAACTTGGGGTAAATTTCTTCTGTGATTGTCCTTTTTGGTGGAGCAACTGCCTTGATCAACAGTAGCTGGTGTTAAAACTAAGACGTGCAATACACTCAAGCAAAAGTTGAAGTGCGGGCCATATTCTATTCTATTTATAAAATTACTTGCGGGCCAATTTAAAAATGGGCCCGCGGGCCGGAGTTTGGACACCCCTGCTGAAACTGAACGACTTGTTCGCTTCACTGAATGTAGTGTGTGTGTGTGTGTTGTGTGCGTGCGTGTGTGCGTGAGAGTCGTCTTTTATCAGTATTGATGGTGTTTAAACGGGAAATTACTCGCACAATGTAACTGAAGTAGCTTTAAGTGGTTAAAGTCATTCAATAGTAGATTAGCGTTAGTTTAGTGTCATTAAGCCTCTGGACGAGTCCACTGAGCTTCAGCTGGCAGACGGCCAGCCTGTCAGCTGTCTGACAGTTGAAGCTTGGCTCAAACTGGCTGCTGCAGAACTTACTTTGTTTTGTGAAGCTCAGTGGCTTGTTAGCTTCACTAAATATAGTGTTTGTTTGTTTGTTGTTTTTCTTTTATCAGTGTTGATGGTATTTACACAGGGAGTCATTCACATGCTAATTTGTGTAACTGAAGTAGCTTTGAGTGTTTGAAGTCATTCAACAGTAGATTAACTTTGGTTTAGTGTCATTGAGCCACTGAATGAGTCCACTGAGCTTCAGCTGGCAGACGGCCTGATATTTATCTTGTCTGATGCATTGATCAGATCAGATATTCAGGCCCATAAAGCACACTCAAATTATGACTCATGTCTGTAAAATGAGGCTGTTGGTTAACGATTTTCGTGAGCAATCACTGCATGTAGAAAAAGTAAAGCTTACTCTGTCAGACTGTATTTTGTAATTTGTCTTGTATGATATTCACAAAGAGCGGCCTAGCTTTGAGTCAACAGTGTCAGCGGATTTCCCCTGTAGTTTATGCGCTGCCTCAAAATAAATACTTCGTTGTCGTCCAGTTGTCATACAGATTTGTTGTGTAGTGTAAGTGAGGGTAGCAGGTGGGAGAGAAGCAAATGAATGTAAACAGCTAGCAGAAAGACAGCAGAGGTTAACTTCACTAAAGGACAGAATCTCACACACAGCCTTGTCTGCTGGGTAATAAGTCGGCTTTAACCTCTTTAACTTAAACTAGTTCCATTGTCCCTCGTGTCATCTGAAATGTTCTCGGCTTTCATTAGAAAAGTTTTTCTATCATTGCTGCGTGTCGGCACTCGCAGTATCATTTCTTGGCAGTATGCCATGGATGCTGAAGAAGTGTGTTTGTCATGTGGGGCTGACACGGTCCTTGTTTTCCACCCGTCGTCTTCTGTTTCTTGTTTGTTGGTCCTTCTCATGTCACCTTTGATTCCACACTTTTATTACTTGAGCCTCAGTGAGTGTGTCGGGCAATGATACTCAGCACTCCTGTTATTTCAGCCTCAGAGTTCTCCTTTATTTACAGTCATTTTTATTTGACTGATCAGTTCTGAGTCTAGTCATTATTTACCACAGACGATTGTGGTCCATGCTCTCATTTTCTCACTGTTGACAACACTGTTACTCTTATCAGTGTTATCTTACATATATTCAGCAGTGCTGTGTCTTTATCACCAAGTGGAACACAAAGCTCTGAAGTAGCTGCAACAGTGAGCTTAGATTGAGCCCCACTCAGCGCCATAATTTTAAAATGTAGCACTAGCAGTGAGTCAGACTTTGTCACCAGGCCCCACTGATGTTATTGTGACAGTCAGAACAAAATGCCTTTGAACTGAACTCAAATGTTGTACTCAGTTAATGCCCTCACTTTTTTCCACTTTCAGTCACATTCAAACACTCACATTATCTCTTGATGAACTGAGCATTTCCAGGAAGGACCCAAATTCAGAAACCGTTCATTTCTTTCTTTGAGGTGATCCCGACTGTAAAACTGATGCCGATCATTTTAATGCAAATTTGTTGGCAGGTCAAAGTTATGTCAGTATTTTGCAAAATACTCAGATGTGTAAAGTATTGTGTTTTTGTTGGCGTCTGACCTCTTGTCACTTTCACACTATTGTAGCAGCATCTTCTTGGCTACAAAATCGACACGCTGCTCTCGTCCCAACACGCGTCTGTACTTGTGTCGTGTTGTGCAGGATAAGGAACATGTGGCACAGTGTCACTATATCATTAATATTGTGATGTGACACTTTTTTAATCACATAGAAGTTTATCAGAATCAAAGGGTTTTATTGCCAAATGTTGAGCAGGTTTACAACATTAGGAAATTGCTATTATGTTGGGTGGTATAATATGACACAGCCTTAATCAAACTATCAAGTCCAGCACTAAAGCGAGAGAGTCACTGTGAATTTCTTCTGACTTCCTTTGAAAGATAACGCGTGGAGTCAAAGGACGCTTGCTTGGGGTTTATGCTTAGTAATAATTTGTTTAAAAAAAAGCCCCCAAAAAACCCCCAAAATAACTGCAGTCTGCTCTTCACGTTCTCCTGAATGTGTTGTTCTGCATATATAGATGGAGCTTCACGTTAATCAGCTGTTCACTAGAATTTACATGAATCTCTGTGATATGATTATGTGAATATGCTGGGGTAGTTTACAGTAAAGGCAGTGAGTGAGTGCTGCTTTATTTGACTGAAATCTGTGCGTTTACCTTTTATTTCTGTTAAATCAAAAAGCTCAATAGGGACATGTAAATGTGCAGGAAAGCTCTGTCTATAACAACAGATCGAGCCCACTTTGATCTCTCAGCTGAATCTGACGGTGTCTGCAGCCACACAGTGGCGCTGCCTGCATGTAATGCACAAACATCCTTATCATATGGCCATGAAGGCGATACCATCCCCTAGAACAACAGTGTTACAAAGAGAAATGAAACTGTTAAAGAGATTCAGTTCTTAAGTATGTGTCCCTTCTTTGCATTAACTGGCCCAACAAAACCTGCAACCACCTCCGAGGTCTCGATGTTGATTTCCTAATTTCTTCTTTCTTTCAGTCTGTGTTTGCTTTCATACTGAAAGTACTTTAACACCTGCTTCAGTCGGAAACAATGACAGAGATCAGTAAGGGATGTAAAAAAAATACAAAAGCAAAAACAACTGCACTGGAGGAAGATAAGTGAGGAGTGCTGCAGACGTTCAATGATCTGTGCACTCTGACTATTCATCTAAAGGTGAAATGTACACAGATGGAAGTGTTGTCATCGCAGTCAGTGACATTTCACTTTGCTCTGTCACCATGTAACCACATCCCTGTAATCAAAACAGTCTCAAATATGTTGAGGTTCAAATAACAGCCTGCCTTGAAGACAAGGAGTGTGAGCCAGTGCACGTGACTGACACCATCAAATATATTTAACCAGTTACTCCACTCATTTTACACTCATGCATCGTTCATATGCTTTGTGTTACGCTCACCGGTTCTGTAGTAAATCCCACCCAGTTAGTCTTTAGAGACTGGAATGTGTAAGTGTGTCTATCTGATGTTGTTAATTAGAGAAATCCAATCAGCCACTTGAATTTTCAGTTTTCATCTCAGAAAATTAAAAACATCATTTTAGGCTTAGAAAGCTGCAATTTTACTGCAGAATTTCAAACAGTGCAACATTTAAGAAGTTTCGTCTTCCTTTCTCTGTTTCCTCTTTCAACATTTCTTTGTTTCACTTTTAACCAAAACGTGCAGTTGAAACGTGAAACACAGGTTGATTGGCTCGATTCTGTCGTTGCAGTGGAGTGAATACTGAAGGGAAAGTTATTTGCATATACTAAAGACACACTATAGATGGATAGGAATCCTTCACAGTTTGAACATCACATTAACATGAAATTGGGCAGATTTAGTGACATTTTGAACATTCACTAAGTGCTGTGCA